TTGTCTTCAAGAATTCTTCTTCGTCGATTGAGCTTTCAGAGCAACCACAAACCCCATTAATTATACTGAAAGGAGCGAACCAAACCGGTTTACTATTCGGTTTACGGACATCTACAAGCTTTTTGAGTCGACAAGTTTTGAAAGAGTTTCCTTTTGTGTTTCCCACTGTTCTTGATTGAGTTTAGTGTTTCAAGACTTGACTAGAAGCTCTGAAGCGAGTCTCTTTAGAGACTCGGATGCTTTACGAAGATCAGAATCTGAATGTCCCGATGAAACGAACAGTTTGATCCCCACAGGTAACCGGCATTTATCAAGAAACGATCTTTTAGAACTCACAACCAACAAAGAGTCTTCCTTTAGAGCCTGCATGGATCATCAGGTCATGTCAAGAAAACCAGGACAGGGTCTAGATTCGGTTTTTGCAAAGGAACAATGTTTAACTTACGCGGTCAGCCATTTCCTCGAGTAGAAGCAAATCGTCTTTAGTTGAACCGCTCGATTTATCTAGCTTCAAGAAAACGATAGGTGATTCCGGGTTGCTTGCTAGCGACATCCCCTTGATCTCCGACAATCCTGTGTGTGTGTTCCCAACGTTTTCATGAGAAAATGAAAACAAAACAAAAAACTTATAGTTGCCGAGTTGAAATCAGAATGAAAGATCAAACCTTTCCATAACAGAGCAATGTTTTGCTTCAGCTTAATTAACATATCAGGGTTTTGATCAATGACATCAATGGCGGTGATAGCAGCGCTTGCAAGATACGGTGGCAAAGAAGCAGAGAACACATATCCTGAGCTGCTAAGTCTCTGTGCATTTGAGAGTCCCAAAGAGTGTTAAGTTTCTCTCATCGGTTTTGTTTGTAATTAATTCATCAGCTTGATCATGGTTTACCTGGTAATCGATGATGCGGGTATTCCCAGTGCAAAATCCACCCTCTGTGGCTAATGCGTGGCCCATTGCCGCAGTCACAACATCTATCTTCTCAATCTGTTTATAGAAAAAAATCACAACAATATTATCAGCATCGGATTTAGCAAATGGTAAGTCAACTAGTGTATGTCATTTATACGCACAGGGACACCGTGATGCTCAGCAAGACCTCTCCCAGAACGGCCAAGCACACCAAAAGAGTTGCTTTCATCCAATATAACACGAAATCGATACTTCTCTTTTAGTTTCACTATCTCATCGAGAGGGGCGATTTGACCAGAGTTCTGCAGTTTTTAACGGAAGGAAATGTAAAGTGTTAGAGTTCAAGGTGAATTTTCAAATGTGGAAGCAAGAGAAGGAAAGAAAAAAAAAGGAAGNAGAGCTGTTTACAATACCTGATATACAGCTTCAGCTACAATGTAACGCCTCAAGTTCTTTGAGCGCTTGTTCTTTGTCATGATTTTCTCGAGGGTACTACGAAGAGAGTCCATGTCATTGTGCTTAAAGTACACGATTGTACTTCTGGAAAGCTGAAGTCCATTTTGTATTCCCCAGTGAACACCCTCGTCGCTAAGAGAAATAGTAAAGACAAGAATGAGTCCAATGTTGAGATAAAAGGGTTTCAAACATGGGACGTATTGACAAAGAAGTTCAATTCATTCATGGGATTTCTACTAATGTAATAAGAAAAGTAGAAAAATGCTTAAGAAATTGTGCACTTACGCAACAATAATATCGCCCTTTTTACAGAAACAAGGAATTGTGCTGAACATCGTGGAAAGACCATAAGAATAGAGGATTGAATCAGGAGTACCCAAAAATTTTGATATTCTGGTTTCGCAGTCAAGGTGGACATCTAGTTCAACAGAAGTATCAAACAGTAAGAACCCTTTTGAAGCAAGTAATAGGGGAAAAAAGAACCCTTCCAAAAAAATGTTTCCTGCTTGAATTCTTACCAATTGTGCCATAGAATCCACGAGGGCCACAAGAACCGACGCCATATTTTTCCAACGCAGAAGTACATGATTCCTGGCATAAACTACCTTAAGTATAACTGTTCACACCGAATAAACCGTATTGAATACAAAGTAGCTTGACATTACCAGCAACTTCTCGTGTCCAATGAGTCCAAGATAATTAGCGGACGCAAAATTCACCACGTCTTTACCATTAACGGTTGTATGCGGTCCAGCAGCACTGTATGGACCCAAAAAAAAATCTTTAAGCATAACATCTAAAAAGGCGACGATACTAAATACAGAGAAGTTTTCCACTCTACCTTTCAAGAACTGGTGGCTCATGCTTCATGTCTTCTGTAATTGGCGGTATAAGTGGTTCAGGAACCCATTCATCACATAACTCATCTATTTCCTGTGTACAACAATAACCACTCAAAAACTCAATACATTCCAAAACTAATCAAATATGCTACAAGAACCAAATCCAATTATCTAAAACATCAGAACAATATCATAAAAATCCGATCGAGAAAGAACCTGCTCGGTTAATGGTCGCTTGGGGGGTTTGTAGCTCTTCTGCGAGAGTAAGAAGAAGATAACAAAACCCAACACCACTTCTACAAAGACATGCCCTGGGTAAAAACAAGTTCGAATCTTTAATAACAATCTCCATAATCCCAACACTAGACAATGTTCACTAAAATTCCTTTCAAAATCCTAAAAATCTAACCTTGGATTGGAACACCGAACAAAACAACTCTAGCTGAAGGAACTTTCAGAATCACATTAACCCAATTTAAAGCAGCTTTAAGCATCTCCACGAGATTCGTATCCATAGCTATATAACAAAAAAAAGCTCTGTATTTTTTTCTTCTTCAATGAATATTTTGTTTTGCTCAACGAATCGAGCAAAGTGCAGCAGCAGATTTCAACTTTGAGGAATCCTACAAAACCAAATCAAATCTTTAAAATCAGTATAAAAAAATTCAAAATTCAGATTTTTGAATCCAATTTTACACACACAACGACAAAGATCCGTCATTGGATTGACTAAACAACGAGAAAATTCCAATACATTGCTCAAAATCGAAAAGCCCACAGATCGAGGTTAAGAAACTATATGATTACAATAGATCCGACACATAAATACCTGATCCCAGTAGA